GCAGCCCAGGATCCCATTGGCCTTCTTGGCCACGAGGGCACACTGCTGCCTCATGGTCAACTTGTCCACCATGACGCCCAGGTCTTTCTCTGCAGAGCTGCTCTCCAGAAGGTCCCCAGCCTGTCCTGGTGTCTGGGGTTATTCCTCCCCAGGTGCAGGACCTTGCACTTGGCCTTGTTGAATTTAGTAAGATTTCTCACTGCCCAGTTATTCAGTCTGTCCAGGTCCCTTTGGATGGCAGCGCAGCCCTCTGGGGTATCGGATACTCCTCTGAATATCCAGTTGGGCTCTGACTGACAGCCCAATCGGGAAAGCACTATCCATTCTGTATCCTAAAAAAAGTAGTGCCTGGGAAAAACAATGTTATAAGGCAGTGCTGAAAACAATCTTATGATCTTATGCGTAAAGGTATGAAAAGGACAGATGGCATTTATCTAATTCTGGCATATTCTGATCTAAACGCGCAGCTTCAGAGCTCTAACGACTGCAATGATCTTGTATACGCAGTACAGTAGGGGAATTTAAAAAAGAAAAACAAACCAATTTCTACTGTGGCATTTGAGCTAAGGGAGTAACTATTTTTAAAAATATATATATATGATTTATGCTGAGGAGTTCCAATTCTTGCTGGCAGGAGTGAGATGATGACAACACACTGGAGCACATTTCACCTGCTACTGACCCCTCCCTCACTTTCAACCATTCATTCTTTGCAGCTCAGACTCCTTTCTTCCACATCTCATTCCCACTGCCCTGCCTACCACCTAAGCAGCTTTTAAGCAAAGCTACTTTCCTTCCTTCAAAGCAGACGATTGTTAAGGGAGAACAGAAAACAGGAAATGCTGCGTCTGCACCACCTCATCTTGCTTATCAAGCGAAGCAATCACAAAGAAAGGTGGGCTTGTATAATCCTGGGATGAAGATGGAATTCATTTGGAGAATTTGACTACAAGTTTTTTTTCTTTTTACTTTAATGCTTTCTCAGTCAAAATTTTATACCCATAACCTGAGTTAGTTTGTATAAATGGCAAAATATCTAATGTACTTGCAAACTGCACAGTATAGAGTGGTTCCTTTTTGGGATCTTCACAGCCAGATTCTACCACACATCATCCCAAAAGGATTCTTTTGTGGATTTGCCTTTAATCCCTTAGATAAAAGAGCTTATTTCTTCCAAAACAAATTTTTAAGAGGACAAACATTCTTATTTTCAGACAGACACTTGGCCAAACTAAGTCTGGCAAAGAGAGAGGTATTGCTGTTTTATTAAAACTCACAATATTTTAGCTATGTGTGGTGTTTATTAGACAGCATCTTTATTGAATTACACGCTAAAGGAGCGGCCTCACCATTCATCGTGTGCACCTTGATCAGTTTTGTTCAGCTTTCACTGCCTCTAAACTGTTTTACTTTGGCAAGTGAACTTCTTAAAAGCAGTTCCTACAATTTTTCCGTTACCTGATTGATTTGACGATGCAGCCTTTGCAGAAGCGGTGTCCGCACGGCGTCTGCACAGCTTCCCGAAGAGCCATCAAACAGATGGGGCACTCGTATTTGCTTTCCAAGGGCGGATCAAACTCCACATCATACCCTTGCGTTTCCTCTGTGAAAGAGCTCGGAGGGTTCCCGGCCCCGCTGCCGACGCTGACACTGTCCTCCTTGGCCCCAGCACTGCAGGCACTGGCCATGGCTGCGCAGCAGCCGCTCTCCCCGTCCCAGGCTCCACAGCTGCTGTCACTGTGTAGCAGGCTCATAGCAGCAAATCGGAAGGCACTCGAAAATGCTCTGCAAAATCACAAGAAGATACATTCATTACAAATACTCCAAGATTCTGCTTTCCAGCAAGAACAAGCCATTTCTGTTTCCAAGCAGTAGCAGCAGAACACAGCACATGCCGCAGGACGGATCTGCACAAGCACTGGTTTTGTTTCACCCAATTTCTGTTATGTATCTTTTTACCTATCTTGTGAAAACACAGGAAAGAGCATCGTAGCCTGCCAGCTGAGTTCAAGCACAAAACACACACACCTTTCTGCAATCTCCCTCAGGCTACCTAATTGGAGTAAACTGGGGGATACTCTCTTTCCCAGTTATGTTTGCTCAAAATACCTCTTCTTCCTTTCCATATTATTTACTTTTAAAGCATTCAAACAAAATTAGTATGAAAAAATGCTACACAACACTAAGTCCTACTGATTGAAAATAGCCCAAGTTTAAATATATACTTCTCAATGAATAAATGTTGTTTAACATATTTTGCACTGAGGAATTTGTGGTATAGATTTCCAGTTACTTGATAACACGAGTTTAGGTGCAAGCCCCCAAATAGCATGCAAGCCCACATAGCCAAGGAAAGCAGATGCTGTGCTATAAATGCAATTAAAACACGGTAGTGCTGTAACTGTCATCAGAAAGGTAATATTTCTATAGCTCAGAAAGCTGACCATTAATTAATAGTTTGTAAAAGATTTTCTTGCTTTTCCATCCTTCTTTTGGCATAGCTGGGAGGGAGGATGGGGATAGGACTAACAATACATCATCCAAGCCATACTTCCCCCGGAAGGACAGAATGGCACAGCAAAGTTAAAGTTTTAGAATATTGTCTATACCGCCTATAAGGAGGCAAGAATATTGCCTCCTTTATAAAGGAGGTTTAACTCACACCAGTGAAATGACAAATACTTGCATCCCTAAACTAATGTTTCTACACAGAACAAGGGAACGGTGAGGAAAAGTTCGAACAGTTTGGTCATTAAGGTAAATAAACATTTCTTATCCGAGTCCTCGTGTTGTCAGTATTCCATAAGTGACCTCACCGGGAAGCCATCCAGAGGCACAGCCAGAGTACTGCGAGTGACAGAGGGTTACGAAGTCAGGCATGAAAAACCAGGTACCCATCAAGCTCAGATCTGATCTTTTGCACAGACAGGGAAAACTAGGATTAACCAAGAATTGCACTGTCTGGGTTGCTGTCCTGCAACATCACTGTGTGCAGCTTGGAGCAACGGGCTGGAGGGTTACAGAAGTCACAGCTTTCACTTCAGGGAACTTTCTCTCCCTTTATCAGGATTCTAATGTAGCAAGTCATTTTCACCAAACATTCACCAATGAGAGTAGATAATTGTATTTTGCTATTCATTGTAAAATACCTGAAGAGAAAAATCAAGAGAAACGCTGATCACACAGAATCTTTACAAATATTTCCTGCAAGCATTCTTTGAACACATGCATGACTACAGAAATACACTTTAGCCCACCATTAGGTTAAACACCTTAACTATAGGCGATAGTTTCCTTAGTTTCCTTAACTTCCTAGGTTTCCTTAATTAAGGTTTCCTTAAGTTTTAAGTCTTAGTTATAAGCACTAAGGAAGCCTTAATTAAGGTTTTAAGTCTTAAGTTTTAAGTCTTAGTTATAAGCACCTTATGGGCACCTTAATTATTGCCCATGCATGTTTGAGGTATTTTTGTTTTTCCAGTTAACTGGGGGGAAAAACAATGATTTTGTGTATCAAGCAATAAAACAGGCAAAGTTAACAAATTTAGGACAGTTAGAATCAAACCAGAGATTTTATTTCACGGTGTAAATATGTAACTTTGCATTATGTGGAAATTGCAGAGGCAACTGAGGAATGAGGACTATGAAGAATATCCAAAGACTGTGTTCCTAACAAATACCACTGAGATACAGAGTCAGAGCCCTGGTTGCTAAGCTGGGCTGTGCTGAGCCAGGCAGCAAGGCCTCCTTCGTAGAGAAATCAGTCCAGAGCAGACCTATCCAGTCCTTGGCTTCTGTGCCTTTCCTCTGCCCCCCAAACA